CAAAAAAAGCCCCCCCCCCCCCCGTCCAGCCCAAGCTGTCAAATGCGGGAGAACAAAATATTGCACAGAAAGTCTGGCCTCCGAACACTGCAGTCCCCCAGCTGTCTGCCTGCGGAGTCAGGCCTCGGTCCTGTCACAAGGCCTCTCCTCACAGCGGGAACTGGGCTCTGTGCCTAGGGCTCTGGCCCCACAGGCATCCCCAATGTTCATCAGCAAGGCCTCTGAGCACCGCGGTGCACCGGGTTTCCCAGGGCCACTCACAGGCCCTGGCCTCCTCCACGTTACCGCCGGGCAGGTCTCTGCTTGAGCACGCGGAGGGACAGGGCGTCGGCCCGGGACAGCAGCTCGTTGAGGTGGGCCAGGCCGAGCCTGGTGACCTTGGCGCCGTTCACCTCCAGGATCTCATCCCCCACGCCTAGGAGCCCTGCGTACAGCTTGGCTGTGCTGGCGTCGGCCATTTCCTGGACGTAGATGCCTGCAAAGCAAAGGGAGAGCGCGCTCAGTGTCCCAACCAGGCGCAGCTTCCTAGAACCAGCAGCCCGCACCTACTCCTGCCCTTCCTCGGTCACCAGCGCCACCCCCTCTGCGCCTCCCGCAGGAGCACTGGGCCTCCTGCCAAGCAGAGCCAGGCGTGCTACGGCCAGCTCCCCGGGGAGCAGAGGCCGGGAAGACAGACCGGGGGAAGCTCTGTGGCCAGACCTGTACGGAGAAGGGACATTCTCCCGGCACACGAGGAGAGGATTTCGCCTGGACGACAGTGAGGGCAAGGCCTCGCTCTTCCTGTGCTTGCACAATGGGAGCTCTGGGCAGCACAAGAGAAGCCGGCTCTACGCGACGCACTCACCCTCCGCATGTGCAACGGACTCAGCTGCTTCGCCTGTCAGACCTTCCTGCTCACGCCATGTTGCTCAGCGCGCCAGGCTCCGAGAAGCCAGGATCCGGAGCAGCATCCCTCACCCCCCGGTGCACCAGGCCGCAGAGGGAAGGTCGCAACTGCTCCATCGGTGAGAGGAGCCAGAGGGGCTTAGGCCTCAGACTGTAGGACCATCGATCTCTGCCTGCAGGCCACACGTTGGCCGCTTGGAGTCCCCAATGGTCCGTACACCGTGCATCGCCCCCGTGCAAACACACCCCAAACGTGCAACGTGACGGGGGAAGCAAGCAGCAAAACACTCGCACAACAACAGACGAGGGAGGAGAAACATGAAAACCGCCGTGCCCCCCAGGAGCAGCAGTGCGCTCACCCCCGGTGCTCACAGCCGCACCGCTCCAGCCTGCCAGGGGAGCTCCACCACAATCAACCACCCTGCCGAAGGAAAGGGGCTCTGGCCTGGGGGCAGGCTGAGACCTGCCTGGCCTGCTTTAAAGGGCTCCTCAGCCGCTGGGCGATAAGAGCCCTTAACCCTTTCCTTCTCTTTCCACAGGGGGCTCCTGGTTTGGACTCTCAGCTGCAGGGGGCAGAAGGAGCTACCCCCGGAGCCCAGGGCGGTTAGGGTCGAGGCACCTGGCAGCAAGGGCACCATGTGGAGGCTCTGTAGCCTCTTCTAAAGTTTGAACCCCTGGGTTGCATACTTGAGGTCTGCTTAAAGCTCCACAGGCAGCTCTACACTGCAGGGAGTTTGTGCTGCTCCCAGCTTTGCCTTAGGGGCAGGGAGTTTGTTTATATGCAGAGGGAGGCAGAGTGATTAAAACAACAATAGGCCGGGCATGCAAGTCACTGAAAGATCCTTAGATGAAGATGAAAAAATAGCCAGGA